AAATACTATTTTAAATAAAAGCGTAAGTTTTCAGTAAGGCATTCTGTGTTATTGGCCACATTTTGCCACCCTTCTTTTTACACTTACACGTTTACTTATATTAATCACTGTGTAGCATGTGGAGAAGTGAAAGAAATGGTTAAGTCCCTTTCATGACAATTTTGGAGATTGTAGAATTTCGTTTCCTCCTAACATGCATGGAAAACACCTCTCTCTGTATTTTCATTACTTGCATCAAAATGTCTCTATTCATACTCAGTAGGTCAGAGTTTCAGTACAGGTTTCTCTTTATATCCCCTAAAGAGTCTGTTCTATTCCTTGGAACCTTACTGTCCAAAACATGCTCAAAACTGATACATCTCATTTAAACATTTGTGCCAGGTCCAGAACAACCTTTTGGTGATGAAATAATTTTGCCAACAATATTCCAACCAATAGTAATAGCAGAGAAGTTAGTTAGGAACGTCTCTCCACAGAATAAAATCTTGCCGGTGTAAGAATATAATACTTGTTTAACAATGCTTGTTAAACAAATGACACAGTTGGATGGATGCACTCACTGCTTTAATGAAATGGAATATTTCAGCTGCATAATCTCTCCTGAGTTAATAAATGTTGCCTCATTTGACGTGTAGGTCAGGAGAAGAACTTTCAGTGATTCTCCCTATTTTGAAGGAGAACAAACTAAAATTAAAAAAGGGACTTTTTTTCTAATGTTTTACTTTGACCTGCAGGCTTGCTGTTCTTTGACATTTTCAGATTTTTCAAGACTTTCAACTCTGCAATGAGAACCGACTTTCAACACAGCCTTTTATGTAAACACTATGTTTCCTGTTTTGCTTCAAAGCAAAATGATGAAAAAATCCTAGCAGTTATGCAGTCTTATCACAACAGGTAGTGTATTCTTGATTGTCTCCTGCAACACAAGTATTTTGTAGACAATAGCAAAGAGCTGTATTTCACTCAGAGGCCCAGAGTTCGCATTATAGAGCCAGGACGTTGTTCACAGGAGCTGTTACCTATGGCGTTAGTCCTCACACAATCCAAAGAAAGCCACATTTTTTTTAGGAAGAGAATATCTGTTATTAGGCCAACAGATATATTGGGTAAAGCAGATATTAGATAAAGCAGATTCATCTTCAGGTAGATGAACTACTCTTTGGGTCTGAAACATAGAAAGAATATGAAAGTAATTGTAGTTAATCGCTCTGAATTGCACCTAACTGTTCTAATCAGTCGGACATTTGGGAGAAAAGTGTTTGCTGTTTTGGGAACAGAGGGTGATCCTGACCCTGCTAAGCATATAAGAGGTGACAGGAGCTAAATGATCAGAAGAAACAGTAATTCCCATCAAAGATCAGCAAGACTTGAGATGTGGGGAAACTCAGATGTCTGTCTCAAATCCACCTGATACAGTGTCTGGTATCTGATAGAGTTAAACTTTTTAGTTCCCTGGCCCATCTTTGATCTTGCAGTGTCAGGGCTGCGAGATTAGAGATGGAGTAGTTGTTTTGGGAATATAATTTTCCGACTGGTAACTGGATGTCACTGTTCTTTCCTAATTAGGTAGCACATGGTGGTTGTTCGGTTTCACCCACAGAGTTCCCGAAGAGCAGTGAACGTCTTGTGTGATGCTTATGGCATTTCAGGATGCGCATGTGTAGGATCTGTGGATTTTGGTGGTTCTGGTGTAGCGGGCATTTATCATGAGGGTTGTGGCAAGATTTGGATCTGATTTTCTCAAGCTTTCTGGTTCTAGCCAACAGATGCTGGTCTGCTGGAAATTTGCTTTCAATGACGGAGCTAATGATGATTGTTGTTTGAAGGGAAGGAGGGGTGTTTCTAGGAAAAATCATTTAAAGGCATGATTTTCTTCCAACCTAAGTTGCAACTTGTTAACATTTTCCAGTATACATTTCTTGCACATTGCGGTACGTGATACCCTGTAGGGGATTTTCTCTCTGTATTGTATTAAGTTTGTACAAGGTTTTGGTGGCTTCTTCAAGTATGCGATCCTAGAGGAGTGTCACTGTTGGATGAACATCATCTGTAGCTTTATGAGGGCGTGTCATGAATATTCTCCTCAGAGCAAATGAGGTGATGTCTGTGGGCTGGTTGTATATCAGTTTTTCTAGTGTGTTTTGGGTAGTTGATGGTTTGTGGAAGGAGGTGTGCTGGTCTGTGGATTTTCTGCATATGGTAGTTTGAAGGTTGCTATTTTTTATGTTGACCTTGGTGTCTAGAAAGTTAATGCTGATGTAAGTTTTCCAGAGATAGTTTGATGGACAATTCTAGTTGCTGAATTTGTGGTAGAAATCAATGAGGGAATCCAAGTTTTCAGTACAGATGTCATTTATGTATCCTAGCATATCCTAACAACCCACGCTGGCTTGGTGGGAAGGTTAAAGTCTTTTTCTTGAGGTGACACCTGACGAGCCTGATATCCTGGTGCTCGGACACAAGTACCTGGGTGCTTGTAGTTGCATCTGTGATTTGGTGAAGATGAAATTGTTGTGGATGAAGATGAAATAGATGGGCTTGATCTATATAAGATGCAGGTTAGGAGGCTGGTATCACTTAGGCGTACGGGTCAGGCATAACGCTTCCCTGGTGTTGCATACTGATGATAATACAAAAGATGGTGTCAGTAAGAAGACAGTTTTTGAAGCAGTGATCCTGGAGGAAGGATGTTTTTTCTGGAGAAAGCTGCTTTCATATATAACAAAGTGTTTAAAGATGGTGTCTGCAGATCCTCATAGCTCTTCAGTAAAAGTCTTCTTCGGTTTCCTTCTGTAACAATCTAGAAGAGCACATTAAAGTCTTAAGGTGGCAAAAGAAGAGTTTACACAATTTTTTCCTTCTTGATTAGGAAGAGATTTGAGCTCCAAGGTGAAAAGAGCAGAGGTCTTTCTTGAGTTCCTTCTCATGTGAAAGCATCAAAAATCATCTGCTAGCATCATTGATGTTATCATAACTTCTCCTTTGTCAATTGTTTAATAACTAATTGGTGACTGGATTTTAAAAACTATGTAGATGCTTAAAAAAAACCCGGTTGTAGCTTTCAAAAAATTATTTCACTCTTATTCCTCTCCTGAAAAAAATTGTTATTTTTATGGTTATTTTACAGGGGATGGTGGCTAGTTTACCTTCATTTTGTTTTCAGAAAAGTTGAGACACAGTTAGAGAAACAATTCCTCCAATTGTCTACAGACCACAGCACTACCAATGTTTCTGAGCATAAAAGTAAGCATTTGGAAAGAGATGGGGGTAGCTGTTCAAGGTTGGGGTATTGCTCCATGACTTCCTGGTGGGAGATGTTGGGAAGCAGGTGCTTTCACCATCATTTCTCAGATGTGTCTCAACGTTGGTGAAGTAATTGTTATGGCACTATTTGGGTCCAGTGTTAAATGATATCAGCTTCTTTTGATAGTAATTTGTTGCGTGGTGGTTTGGTGTATTTCAGACCATTTCCTTTAATTTGTTGGAGGCCGTAATCATGTCTGGTTCAGTCAACCTCTTTGGGAGGTAAAGTTTCTCAGTTTCTTAGCTTAGCCAGACCTAAACAGGATATTCTGTCATGTATCAAGGGTCAAAAATTAGACTGTTTTTCTACAGTCAAAATGACCTACATGGATCTGTGTCATTCTCCCATGTTCTTCAAAGCCTGAGCCAGACTTCAACTCACTTGCTTTTACGTCTGGACCATTTCCCCACTGAATTTTACGGGGCTGCAGACCTACTATACCTGCACTGCCTTTGCAACAAGCACTTTCATAGGATTTAGGAGAAGGCTTTCCACAAAATGGGCTAGTTGGGCACATAATATGGATCTGCCAAAGAGATAGTCACATCTCCAGAAGTGTAGATAAACTGATGAGGGAGGAAAGAGTACATGGAGGCAGGAGAGGCTATAAATAGAGAAACCCTAAATGAGCAAGTATATGAAGGGGAGACTTGACCTAAGCGGGACCCCAGAGGACCATGAGAAAGAAAGTGCCTACAAACCGTAGCATGACTTTACGAGGAAGAGGTTTCGGTGTTGAATGCAAGCTGAGGCGTGGGGAGCGCAGGACGATGTTATTCCTAACGAAGGGCTTGGAAACGCCTCCGCAGCGGACCGGCTGCCTGAGGGGAGATGGGGAGGCTCCGATCCGGTTCCAGCGGCAACCAGTTGTCAGCACAGGTCTCTGCCATTCCTTTACCCCAGTCCTTTAAAAAGACTCTGAACCGTGTTGCCTGTTTTGGACAGCGCAAGTCAACACCCTTTGTGCTCGTTTTTAGCCTGGCCTGAGCGCGGAGCGAGTTAAGACATGGAGGGGTTGACGTCAAGGCCTTCGGTCCTCCCTGAGGACCTGGGACCTGCCAAAAGGGGCCGGGGGATGACCGAGAGGGCCCACCCCGTGTGCCTGCTGCTTCCAGGTACCCCGGGATTTTGGGGAAAAGTACCCTCCGCACACGACCACTGTCTCACAGAGGCCTCGCTCCGCTGCCGGGGCCGCCCCGGGGTGCACTGCAAACCTGAGCGGAGGGGCGAGGGGCAATGGTGAGGAGGGGGCAAAGGGAGGACGGCCGGCAGGAGCAAGGGCAGCCTCTACTTTGTTCACTCATGGTTGGAGAGGAGGCGAAGAGTTTCGCTCCGAGAGGAGGAGCGGCCCTAACCGCGATCGCTGGGCGACCGGCCCGGCGGTGGAAGGAGGCCGGGGCTTCGGGGGGCAGGGGCGGGCCC